AAAGGACTTGTGTCGCTAACGGAACGAATTTACGGAAAATCAATTAACAAACGGAGACGTAACACTATTAAAAGAAGGGAGCAGTTTAACATTAAATTGCGAGACGTAAAAAAAAAGTCTGTGAAAGGAGAACCCATAACTTCGATTAAACGTGATTTCATTCAGCCCACATCTTCCCGACTCTATCCAGCATGCATACTCACTAAACCCCTTTATATGGCCTATGACAACTAATGAGGCGGAAGCCATTCGGATTCGAGGCTGTCATAGATGCTATTACACCTACGCACACTGCACCATTATCTTCCTCAATTGCTATTCAAAATTTTTAAAAAAGCATTAATATAGTGAGGATTTAAAATTGAAATGGTAACGTTAATAGCTATGCTAAAATTCAACCATTCTGATTTCGTCATTTTTGTATTTTGTTAATTACATTTTAGTGACATTGGAAGTTTTGCTACAAATATTATATTTACTACAGAGGACTGTCACCTAATGTGAAAAACAGTTTAAATATATATTTTTAGAATGCAAAAAAAAGAAGTTCAGTAAAATGATACAAAATATTATTTTTTCAAATTTCAAAATTCCTGAAAATCCCTACGGGACTAGATAAAAAATCTAATAGGCCTAACAGTAATGCCTTATGACAAGTATAGTTATAAAAGTAAAATAACTTACTGAGAGCAGAGTTAATGTTGATATCATTGTAATTCAGGTATTAATATCACTTTAATTCAGATATTGATATCACTCTAACTCAGATATTGATATTATTGTATTTCAGAGTGTAAAAGTCAGTAAGACTGTTTCATCCCTTTGCCTCTTATGTTACACTCAGATACAGTGACTATGGCAACTACATCAATCATGGAGCTATTCAGTTGGATGAAGGTATAATCTGTGGGAGGGTTTTCAAGTATTACTGGAATATATTTATTACAGACAGAGGCACCCACCCTACGTTCGGGGGCAAAAGGATTGAATGTAGGGTTTGAACTAATAAATTAAATCAATAATTTGTATTTATATGCATAATTTATTTCACACATAATTTACTTTATAACTACTTTGTCTCACACCTACTTCATTCCACATTACAGAAATGGTGTTACAATTACTAAATTTTATTACTTCTACTAATCCTTCTGTACAGTCTCAATGTTTCATGGTGCTCTAATCCTTCTGTACAGTCTCAATTTATCATGGTGCTCTAATCCTTCTGTACAGTCTCAATGTTTCATGGTGCTCTAATCCTTCTATGCAGTCTCAATTTATCATGGTGCTCTAATCCTTCTGTACAGTCTCAATGTTTCATGGTGCTTTAATCCTTCTGTACAGTCTCAATATTTCATGGTGCTTTAATCCTTCTGTACAGTCTCAATGTTTCATGGTACTCTAATCCTTCTGTACAGTCTCACTTTTTCATGGTACTCTAATCCTTCTGTACAGTCTCATTGTTTCATGGTACTCTAATCCTTCTGTACAGTCTCACTTTTTCATGGTACTATAATCCTTCTGTACAGTCTGAATATTTCATGGTACTCTAATCCTTCTGTACAGTCTCATTGTTTTATGGTACTCTAATCCTTCTGTACAATCTCAATGTTTCATGGTACTCTAATCCTTCTGTAAAATCTCACTTTTTCATGGTACTCTAATCCTTCTGTACAGTCTCAATGTTTCATGGTGATCTAATCCAACCGTACAGTCTCATTGTTTCATGGTACTCTAATCCTTCTGTACAATCTCAATATTTGATGGTGCTCCGAGTGTTTTTTGATGGGCAACATTAGTTCTTTTTCATTTCTGGACTAAAATATAGATATGTCTTGGTGATCCTACTCTTGAACACCCAACATAGAAATGAAAATATGAAAAGCAATGATTTTTCAGATGTAGCCCTGTCACTTTAAGCTTTTAAGCTTATGCTTTGGTTGCCATTTATCGTGAATGTTTGACATAATAATTGGTCCAAGACTGTGGAGTCATTAGCTAAACAAAGATATTTTTGTGGTCGTGTAATAACCATCCTATGACATGACCCTTGGTCCAGTGTATTATCTAACCAAGTTTGGTTAAGGTTGGTCCAATGTATCATCATACCAAGTATGGTTGAGGTTGGTCCAATGTATCATCCTACCAAGTTTGGTTGAGGTTGGGCCAATGTATCATCC